AAAAGAATATTTAAGTTTTCAAAATCTCAGTTTCTTGAGAAAAAAGGTGGTCAGTTTCTATACTATCTTGTCTTTCTTCCTTGACTTTCAGCACTCACTCTGACCCTCTATTCTCCGAGCTCTTATTGAACACGTGCCATTTTGTGTTCTGACACCATCAACATGTTATTTCTCTACAGACCTCTCAGAGCTCCTGGCTACCTACTCATTAGGTGTTCCACAGACATCACAGAGGAACAGACGGAGAACTGAATTCTTGTTTTCCTGTGATCTGCCTTCTGCTCCCCTACCTAAGACTTGTTCCTAACTCCAGCACCCAGGAACAAAACCAGCATGGCGTTCTTCTGTCTTCCCCTTCTCCATGTTTAAAGCTATAGGCACTATCTCTGCGCATTGTACTCTGGATAGTTCTCAAATCTGTCTACCAGTCACTTCCTCCATCCCCTTCCCACTACAGGCCACTGTCACCTCCCTGAGCTTGCTATCTTATTTTATGTTGTCTTTCTCTTTCTTAATGCCTTCCTCATAAGGCATAAAAATAAGTTTTCATAAGGTTTGAAATAGATCTGAGGTAAAACTGGCAGTTGTACCATGTCTGAAAAGCCCTTCATGAGTCAGCTTTTGCCAGGCTCCCAGGCTGTTTTTCTGGGCCACTCCCAGCTTGCTTAGTCACACACCTCTTTTTCTGGTCTCTCCTGGAGACTAGATTCTTCCCTGTCAGGATCTTTATACCTTGCCTAAGTTGCTCCAGCTACCTCTTCATCTCACATCCATCCCACCTGTCCTCCCTACTCCCCCACCAGCAACCCACTAGGCAAGGTGCCCTCCTTCCTTCTAAGCCTGCCTGTCTCAATTTTCTGTGAGTTCCACAGAGATAATTTTCTGACTGCTTTATCTCAAAGAAGTCTCTCTTCCCATTCTTCGAAGACACTTTGCCTAGAGTCAGTTCCTTTTACCTAGAAGATCTCTCTCCCTCCATTCCTTGGAGATAACTTTCCTTTACTTAAGGGAGGCCTCCTCTCCCCATTTCTAGGAATTTCTCTTAGTTAATTGTTTGTCTCCTTCATAGCTCTTGTAATGTTGAGTGATTTGTTTGTTGGTTAGTTTCTTGTAAACTGGGCAGTAGGATCCCTGTCTAGAGCAGGTGTCTTTGTCAGTACTGAGCCTGATGGAGGGAAAATGCTCAAGCTACATCTTTTTAATAGAATAGAAAACAAAGGTTTGAATGAATAGAAACAACTAAACATTTTTAATGTAATCTAAAATTTACATTTATTTTATGTGTGTGTGTGTATGTGTGCATGCATGTGGGCCTTGGCACTTGCATGTGGTGGTTGGGGTTAACTTGTAGAAATTTGTTCTCTTGGGGATTGAACTCAGGCCTTCAGACTTGGTGGCAAGCACCTTTACCTACTAAGCAATCTTGCCAGTCCTTAAATATTTCTTTATACTGAAAAAAAAAAAAGGGATTTCTGATTATCTTGTTTTCAATTTATTTTATGCCAATAAGAAATTGGACTATAATCAGAGTCTTTGACTAGAAACCTACTAGATTAATATTGTAAAGAGAAATGTATTAGTCATTATTAAATAAAAATTGAGCATAGTAGTTTTTTTTAATCTTTTTGAGACAGGGTCTCCTATAGCCCCAGCTGGCCTGGAACTCACTATGTAGACCAGGCTGGCCTTGAACTCACAGAAATCTGCCTGCCTCTGCCTCCCAAGTGCTGGGCCTAAAGGCGTGCTTCACACGCTGGGCCTCATAGTAGTTTTTTTTTTTTGGAGTTTACAACAATTTATTTTATATTATAAAGAACTAGAGGAGAGGCGCTCCAGGGTTTTCATCACAAATGATAAATGTTTAAAGAGACAGAAGTGTTAATGATTTGATCATTATACATTTTAGATATATATTCCTTACCACACCGCATACCATAAATATATACATTGTTTGTCAATTAGAAATTTAAAGGATTTTAAAGACTTTGCCTTCAGTAGGTGTGCAGAGTGACTCCACTGGTGACCCTTAAAACTTCAAAAGAGGATTGGAGAGATGGCTTAGCAATCAAGAGCACTGGCTTCTCCTACAGAAGACCCTGACTTGGTTCCTAGCACCTATGTGGTGCCCAACTCCATTTCCAGGGGCTCTAACACCCTTTTTTCTGGCCCCCTCAGGCATTGTACAACAGGGGAGCACCCATACACATGTGGCCAAAACACGTATCCATAAAATAAAAATAAATTAATTAAATAATATTTTCTTCTTTTTTTTTTTTTAAATGTGTATGAGTGTATTGCCTGCATGTGTGTAAGTGCACCTGTGTCATGCAGTGCCCGCAGAGGTCAGAAGAAGGCGTCGGATTCCCATGGAACTGGAGTTATGGATGGTTGTTAGCCACCATGTGGGTGCTGGGAATCAAACCTAGGTCCTCTGCAAGAGCAGTCAGTGCTCTCAACTGCTGAGCCATCTCTCCAGTCCCAATTAAATAAGTTTTTAAAGCTGCAAAAGAGCTCAGCCTGCTCCCCATCCAGGACTCTTCAGCTGCAACCCAACATGGCTGCCCCACCCTCAATTTTGGGACTCACCAGAGGCCTGCCTGACTGGGAACCTTCAGTTGAAGACAAATAATTCTAACATACCCACCATGTGGAGGCAGGATCCGGGGGCTCTCAGGCAGTCCTGTGTGCTCAGGCCCTCTGCCAGAGAGGCCAGAAATTGTCACTCTCTCATAGTAGCTTTTTAATAGCTGAGGATGACCTTGAATTCCTGATCCTCCTGCCTCCACCTCCTGAGTGCTGAGATTACAGCATGAGCCCTGACACAGTAGTTCATATATCTATCTGTAGAAACATAGATATATCATGTATATATTTGAAATGGGAAAATGGTATTTAAAATTACCATACATTGTTGTAATTCACTTAGAATCATTTATGAATGTAGTTTACCCAGCATTCAGGGTACTGGATTATAATTAGAAATAGGAAGTTGTGCTGGATAGCTTTAGTGTCAACTTGACACACCTGGGTTGAGGGAGCCTCAATTGGGGAATTGCCTCCATTAGACTGGCCTGTGGCCATGTGTGTGGGGGATTTTCTTGATTGTTGATTTCTTTGGGAGGGCCCAGCCCACTGTGGGTAGTGCCACCCCTGGACAGGTGGTTATGTATTGTATAAGAAATCAGGTTGAACACAGGCTAGGGGAACAATTCAGTAAGCAGTGTTCCTCTGTGACCTGTGCTCCAGGCTCTGGCTCCAGGCTCCTGCCCTGCATTCCTACCTTGGGCTCCCTGATGAACTGTGACCCAGGTTAGCATTCTTTCCTCCCCAAGTTGGTATTGGTCAGAGTATTTTGTCACAGCAATGAAGCAATACAGAAGTTCTGGTATTTTTTTATTTTATTTTTTTGGTCTTTTTGAGACAGGGTCTCCCTGTAGCCCCAGATGTCCTGGAACTCACTATGTAGACCAGGTTGGCCTTGAACTCACAGAGATCAGCCTGACTCTGCCTCCCGAGTGCTGGGATTAAAGGCATGCGCCACCATGCCCAGCTGGAAGTTCTGGTATTTTATGGTTATATCTAATGGTAATATATTTCATGCTTCAAAAAGCTAGATGAAACAATTTTGAATTTGTTTAACATAAAGTAAATGATAGTGGACTCTGAAGATTTGTCTCAGTGATTAACAGACTGGCTGTTCTTGCAGAGGACCTGGGTTTGGTTCCCAGCACCCACATGATGTCTGCAACTGTTAGCAGTCTTCTGACCTCTGTGGGCATTGCATGACACAGGTGTACTTACATATATGTAGGCAATACAGTCATACATACACAGAAAATAAAATAATAAAATATTAAACAAATAAATGATAGCTGTTTGAGATAGATGTTTGTCATGGCTTAGACATATAAAATATACATGTATTTAAACATCACATAGTGCCATATATACATATATATAATATGTATATATATGGTCTCTTTGAGACAGGGTCTCCCTGTAGTCCCAACTAGCTGGCCTCACTCTCACAGAGATCCACTTGCCTCTGCTTCACAAGCACTGGGACTAAAGTTATATGCCACCACACTTGGCTGGCTATATGTGTATATTTATATTTTTTACTATATGAGTATATTTATATTTTTAAGTTTTTATACATCCCGTAAAATAAATTTGAATTAAAAATGCATAGCATGAGGTTAGGCTGGTCTACATATTGAGTTACAGGCCAGCTGAGGCTACAGGGAGACCCAGTCTCAAACCCCACCCCCCTAAAAAATGCATAGCATATGACAAAAGTCAAAACCAAACCAAACCCCTGACTCTTCCAGCATACACTTTATTTATTTATTTTTAAAGATTTTATTTTTAGTTGTGCTTATGTGTGTGTGTAGAGTTCTGTGGGGGTCTGTGCATGTGAGTGCAGTAGCTACAGGGGCCAGAAGAAGGTGCAGATCCCCTGGAGCTGTAGGTAACTTTGAACTTCCAGACATGGGTGCTGGGAACCAAACTCAGGTCCTTTGCTACAGCAGTACTTGTTGGCCACTGAGCCATCTCTCTAGCCACCAGCATACCTTTACAGCTTTATTGAGACATGACATAATAAACTGTATTTATTTAAAATACTATTTGAAATTTTTAAAAAAATTCATTACTTTATTTGAATTTGGGGGGTGGTATATACGTGAAGTCAGATGGCAACTTGTGGAGTCAGTTCTCTCCTTCCACCATCTGGGTTCTTGGGATTGAACTTGGGTCATCAGACTTGGTGGCAAATCACTACCAGCTGAACCATCTCTTTGGTGAAAAAACTGCATGTCTTTAAAATATATAGTTTGGAAAGTGTACATTTTTAAGTGAATGCAACATGAATTATCTTATAATGGAGAAATTATGCCATTAGAAAATGGTTTTTAATAGTATTTATGGATAATATCAAAAGAATGTTTGGACATAAATCATAAGATATGGCTTAATGCCTGGTGTCATTTGTATTGTAGCAGGATGTTTCTCCTGGTGGGAGCCCCCAAAGCAAACACGACCCAGCCTGGAATTGTGGAAGGAGGTCAAGTCCTCAAATGCGACTGGTCATCTAGCCGCCGGTGCCAGCCCATTGAATTTGATTCAACAGGTAAACCTTCATGCTACTGTCCATGCTCTTAATTTATGCCATTTTATTTTATTTTTTTAAAGTAACAGCTTAGTAATGAATATAATCATCTCAAATCCACAGGGCAAGTTTTGTAAAGATAAATTATATTTCTTTCTGTAATTCTGTGACATAGGAAAGCATTAAAAATTTGTTTCCGTTGCTTTGGATATCTTCCAACTTAAACAGATTATGTCAATATGTAGAAATTTTAGGGAACTCTATAAAGATGACTTTGCATCTGTTCTGGGAAGAGGGAGCTCGTGGGCACAGCAGAGCTTTTTGTTGTTTACCTGTGAGCCAAATTGAGGCATGACTCACTAACAACTACAGAAGATTACCCCCCTAATCATGAATATATCCCAGCCTTGGTGTGCCACAGATTTAGGGAGATATAAGTGACTTAAAAACAAACTTTTATATAAAATGTATTGGGAAAATGTGTTATGTTACTAATAACAGGATTATATTTATTTTCTGGGATAAATTTCAATGTCAGTCAAGATGGTAGTAGTAAGAAGAAAGTAGTCTAAGGAAGATTAGAGATAATTCACATTTTACATTTATTATATGATTGAAATAAAATGTTCAGAATCCTATATACATTTATATTGGTGTATTTGTATATATTTGTTAAAACTTTAAAGAGAATTCTCAAGGAAGTAATACAACATTTCTTCAACTAGAATAGTTTGATAATTTTTTAAAAATGTTTTTGATCTTCTGGCTTTGACAAAGTACTTTGAGATAGACCTGAATAAAATGGGCCTCACTAGGCATGATGACACACATCTTTAATCCTAGCATTCTGGCAGCAGAGGTCTCTGTGAGATAGAGGCCAGCCGGGCCTACATAGCGAGTTGCTGACCAGCCAGGGCTACAGGGAGACCCTGTCTCAAACTAACAAACACACAAAAAGAGTTCCTTTTTTCCATATTATTGTCTCCTGCTAGTTCTAAAACATTGTTTCTGGGAGTTACAATGTTAGGAAGACAGGATTGTGATTTGGGCTGTTGCATCTGATGTTAGGGTGAGGACCAAGATGGCTGTCAGTAACTGATTCAGCTGTTGATGAGGACCAGCTTGCATTTTTTTCTTATTTGGAACTGTGTATTAAACTGCTTGCATTTTTCCATATAAGGCTTTTGGAAAATTTCAAACATTTATAAATAGGCTAAGATTTATCACAAATGGAGAAATAGCTGTAGTTCAGAATATTATGGATGGGAGCTTTTATCTTCTAACAAAATATAAACACTAATAAATGAAGTATAGTTTGATTTTCATAAATCGAATTGTTCAGATATATCCATGGTCTCAATATGTAACTTGGCTGCATGGAACTCACTATGTAGATTACACTGGCCTTGAACCAGAGGTCTACCTGCCTCTGCGTCCTGAGTGCTGGGATTAAGGCTATGAGCTACCATACCTGGCTACCATATTCATGTTTTTAATATTATAGTCTTTCGTCCTTTGAAAGATAACTTATTGCTGTTTTTAAATTTGGTATTAGTTTTGTGTTTACTGAAAAACAACCTATGTACATGGTAGTAGAAATTTGTCAGTCTAAAAGGGTATGCAATGAAAAATAGGGCTTCCACATTTGCCTCCTTAGAGGCAATCATGATTAACAATGATTTGTATCCTTCTAGAATATTTTGATTTTTTTAGGAATGTATATAGCCTTAAAACAACCATGACAAGAGCAGTCACATTGAAACATTTACAACATTAAAATATCTTTTTATTTATTTTTTGTTTTCCCCCCCCCCCCCCCCCCCCCCCCCCGGAAAACAGTGTGAGGCAGCCCTGGTGTATAATGACAAACATTGCATGTTCTCTCTGATATGTAGATGCTAGCTTCTAACTTTTATGTGTGTGTTTATGTGAAAGGGAGTATATATAGAGTTCAGAAAACTAGAAAGGGGACCCTGAGAGAGGAGAAAAAAATGACTTTAAGTGGGAGGAGCTGTAGAACACATGTGATGTAAAAGTGGAATGGGGAATACTGGGATGGAAAGGTCTAAGTGTGGATGGGGATAAGGAGATAGGGGAGAGGAGGAGAGGCCCCCAAAAGGAAGGACTAGGAGAATGCCTAAGGAAGCCTGCAGATTTGTAAATTGACACATTTAAATGAAAAGATTTTCAGCTGAGAGCCCGCTGTTCTTTCAGTGCTTCAGGCAGAGTATAGAGTTGTGCTTCATCAAGACTATGTCAGCAAGTAGAAATCTTAACTCTTTTCCCCCCCTTCATTTTGCTGCTGTCAGTGTCTCTTTACACTGCTGTGATGCACTATATATTTAGTCAGACCACTGCCAGGAATAGGTTGGCACCCTTGACTTCAAAGGATTCACGCGGGCTCTTGGAGGGAGGGGGGGGGAGGGCTAGTACACAAGTACCTCAAGGCTAGGGGTGGAGGAGAAGTTACCAGAGTTTCAGGTGGTATGGTGGAGAGCCATGTGACTGGAAGGGCTTTTGTTAGAGTGCAGGATTTAGCTCTCTGGAAGAGGGTGGGGGTGAAGAAAGAGTGAGTGAGAGAGACAGGGAGAAAAAAAAATGTATTTTTAGTAAACAATATGATTAGATTATAGATTATACTGACTTTCATGTAAGAAATGCTTATAGAGTATTCTAAACTTTCCTTTCACCCTTCTCCCGAGGAGCCCTATCCTATTCCACACACACAAACGTCTCCTTATAAAAGTAACATCTGTGATTTCCAGCATCTCATGGGAGGTTGTGCTTAGTAGATCTGTGTGTTTTCTGGAAGCAAAGTGCCTGGGGGTCAGACCTGGGTTTGCCATTTGCATCTGTTGATTTTGAACAGATTGTTGTCAGGTTACCACCCCCCACCCCCCATATAGTATCCTCATCAAATCTGCTCCAAAGATGAGAATTAAACCAAATAAATTAACTTAGAAATAAGAAAGTATACTTAGTGTAGGTGCTGGCTCATTGAAATGGCTCAGTAAACAGAAGCTGTTGTTACTTCTCCCTCTGCCTTCTTGGGGTCCTAATCTACATTTTGCTTACCACAGTATCCCTGTAACACTTGCAATTTTCCTCCAACTTTCAAGTACAGTTAAGTCATTTCTCTTGAGAAAAGTAAGCACAAGAAGCTGGGTGTGGTGGTGCACTCATGTCTTTAACCCCAGCACTTGGGAGGCAGAAGCAGGTGGATTCCGGCCAGCATGGTCTATGTGATGAGTTTCAGGCAGCTAGGGCTGCAGGGAGATCCTGTCTCTAACAAACAAAACAACAACAAAAGTAAGAGCATGTATTTTCTTTTACTCTTTTCCCTTTGTTCTATGTTTTTTTACACTTACGATTTTGAATATTGTCTGCCTCCAATCACTTTCCATACTTCTGACCCTTCAGACTGGCCTGTCTAATCCCACTCTAGTCAGGAGCAGCTGTAACTGAGGTTAGTCGCAGCAGCCCACTTGCCACTTCCCTGAGTGGCTTTTGAACATTCTCATCTTATTGGATCATGTCTTTTTTTTTTTGTTGTTAAAGATATGTAAAATTTTTTAAGTTTTATTTTCTTACTTTTATGTGTATATGTGTGTGCCTGCTTGTCTGAATGTGCACCATATGCATGTAGTGCTGCATGGAGGCCAGAAGAGAGCGTTGGATCCTCTGGAACTGGAGTTACAGGTGGTTGCGGGCCACCTGATGTGGAAACTAAACCTGGGTCCTCTAAAAGGGCAGTACGTGCTCTTAACCTCTGAGCCATCTTTCCAGCCTCCTTTGTTTTATTTTTAATTATGTATATGTGTGTGTGTGGGGGAGGGGTGCGCACCTGCGTGCAGGTGCTCACAGAGGCCAGAGGCATCAGATCACCCTGAAGTTGGAGTTACAGGCAGTTGTGAGTTATACCATGTGGGTGCTGGGAACTGAACTCTGGTCCTTTGTAAGAGCAGTAGGCACTGCTGTGCCCATTCTCCATCTCTTGTGTCACTTAACTTTACAATTCACCCTACTGGACAAGCCTTTATTTTACACACTAATTTGATTTTCAAGTTTTTTCTTCTATTTTACCAGGGACTCGGGTGACTAAATGATGAGGTATCAATGCTTATGGTAAAAAATGGCCTCTGATTGCATTTGGAGTGGAGAGAACCATAACTAAACTAAATTCCTGATGGGATGCTATAGCTTTGGAGTTCCCTGAGTTTGGTGACTCTTGTAACGAGTGTGTCTTTTATGGAGGCTTGAGAAGGCCAGGCTGTGGAGTTGCTTTACTCTGAGGTGAGTGGCTCTAGCTTGGCAGCAGAGTATGAGGTGGTTGGTTACGTTGTGGCCACAGTCAGGTAGCAGAGAGGTGGCTCTGGTGCTCTACTCGCTTGCTCCTTTGTATTTAGTACAGGACCATTGCCCGTCGGATAGTGCCACCCACGTGCCTTTCCTCTTTAGTTAAACATCTCTGGAGGCCCTTGCCCACACGCTTGTCTCGTAATGATTCTAAATTCCATGAAGTTGACAATGAAGATTAACCATCCCTGATGGAAACTTCTGATGTGCCTTCTTTCTTGTCACAGCATGCTTTTGGTGGTGACCAGTCTACATTATTTTCATTTCTATAGAAAATAACAACATGAGCTAGGTGTGGGGGTGTGCGCCTTTAATCCCAGCACTCCGGAGGCAGAGGCAGGCAGATCTCTGTGAGTTCAAAGCCAGCCTGGGGCTACAGGAAGACCCTGTCTCCAAAACAAAACAAAACAACAACAAAAAACCCCAGAAAATAGCAACATATTTATATCAAAATAAAAAAAGGCATAGCTGGAAAGTATTATTTAACTTTGCTGGGGAATTTGAAGAAAGATTTCTAGATTAGCTAGTGACATAAGAGCTAGCTAGTGAAAAATGAGGTATAGTCCCCAGATATGGAAGAGACTAACAGGTGGTGGGAATTGTGTGCATTGCTAGATGTTAAAGTTCAGATAGCCTCACCCCCTCACCAACAGGTCTCATGGACT